TCCTCCCACCTCGTGCTCCCATAGTGCTAGGATTACAGGCATGAGCCACTATGCCCGGCTGCTATGTATTTTCTCTTTATCTCGTCTATTCTTTCCTTTTTTTCCTCATTTAATTACTTCTTTTGGACTCATTGAGCATTTTTAAAATGACTCTACTTAATCTTCTTTGTTGATGTATTAACTCTAACTCTTTGTTTTGCTTTTATAATAAGTGCTTTAGAAGTGAAAGTATACATCTTTAACTTCTTACAGTTTACCTTCAAGTGTGTAACGCCACTTTATGCTTAGTGGAAGAATCTTGCAACAGAATACTTCTCCCTTCCTGGACTTTGTGCTGTTGTTGTCATACATTTTATTTCTACATGTTATAAACCCCACAAAATATTGTTTCTGTTTTTGCATTAAGCAATCAATTATTTTTTACAGAGCATTTTAAAAATAAGAAAAAAATTATTTACCTACATATTTGTGGTTTCTTAAGCTCTTAATTCCATTGTGTTGATTCACTTTTCCATCTGGTAGCATTTTTCTTTTACCTGAAGGACTTTAGCATTTCTTATAGTGTCAGTCTGCTGGTGATGAAGTCTTTCAGTGTTTATGTGTCAGAACTATCTGTTTATTTTGCCTCATTTTAAATACATACATACATACACACACACACACACACACACACACACACACACATATATATATATATATATATATATATATATATAAAAGAATCCCAGATTGCCAGTGTTTTCATTCAGTACTTTAAGATGCTGCTCCACCATCTTCTGGTTTACATATTGCAGATGAGAAGTCTGCTGTCATTCTTTGTTCCTTTTACAGTAATGTCTTTTTTTTCTCTGACGGCTTTTGAAAGTTTCCTCTTTATCACTGGTTTTAGGCATTTTGATTGTGATGTGCCTTGGTATAGTTTTCTTCATGTTTCTACTTAGTTTGTTGAGCTTTTTGGATTTGTGTGTTTAGAGTTTTTATCAAATTTGGAAAGTTTCTATCCATTCTTTCTTCAAATATTTTTTTTCTGTCTCCCCATCTGTTCTCACCTCAGATCCTCTGTTCATTTTTATTTTTAGTCTTTTTCTTCCAGCAGTGTTTAATTTTGGATAGTTTCTATCTCAATATTTTCAAGTTCTTTCCTTTTTTTTTTTTTTTTAGTAATGTTTAATTTGCTGTTAATCCTATGTGCATGTGTGTTAAAAATCTTAGACAAAGGTTTTATAATCTCTAGATGTTTGGTTTGGACTTTTGTTTTTTTTTAAAGATTTTCCACATCTCTACTTAACATGCTCAATCTATTTTTGTGCTCTTCTATTTTTTGAACACATTAAATATAATTATAATTACTTTCTTCATGTCCTTATCTTATAATTTCATAATCTCTGTCATTTCTAGGATTCTTTCAATTGATTGAAAGAAATCAATATACAGATTGATTTTTTTCCCTCCTTACTTTCCTGTTTCTTTTCGCATGTCTGATAATATTGATTGGATGCCAGACATTGTAAATTTTACCTTGACAGGTGCTGGATATTTTTGATTTCTTATAAATATTCTTGTGCTTTGTTCTGGGACACTTTGTTATTAAAAACAGTTTAGTCCTTTTGGGGCTGGCTTTTAAGATTTGTTAGGTAAGACCAGCATAGCATTTACCCTAGGGCTAATTTTGCTCTGCTACTGTGGCAAGGCCATTTGAGTCATGAATTATGAGGTTTTCCAGTCTGGGTACCAGGATCAGACACTATTTATTCCTGGTGCTGTATGATCACTGGGTACCTTTCCTCTCTGCCTTGTGGGAACAGGAATAATTCCCTGCCCTGTGCAAGCTTCTGTTATTGTTCTCTCTATATGTGGTTCTTCCTTAGCCTTGGGTAGTTTACTCACACACATGAAGACTGGAGTGAGATCTTCTGCAGATTTCCATAGCTCTTTCTTTCCCTGTGTAGCTTTCTCCTCTCTGGTATTCTACTCCAGCTCCAACTTCTTTGGCCTCCCTGGTCTCCCAGGTCTATTAATATCTCCTCGATTCAGAGAGTCTGACGAGCTCTTCCTGGATTCCCCTCTTAGTGCTGCAGCCTGGCTACTCTTTCTAGGTTGCAAGCTGAGGCAATCATAGGGCTCACTTCATTTGCTTTTACTTTCTCATGGACCACTGTCCAGCACTGCTATGCAATGTCCAATGTTTGAGAGCCATTGCTTGCTCATTTGTTACTGTTTTTAGTTTTAGTCAGGGGAGTAAATTCAGTTCTGTTGCTCCACCTTGGCTAGCAAGAGTGGATTACCATAAATTATTGGGGTTCTGTTGATAAAACAGATTGTCAAGGGTGTCACCTGTTTCCAAAACAATTCTCATTAAGTAACCTGAAACAGCTGGTATTGTAATCCACATCTCCTGCAATCAATGGGTGTTACAGAAGAATTGCCTAGGAATGAACTTTATGTAAGACAATGGAATCCTTCTCTCTGGTTTACATTTTAAAATTCCTGTGATACACTCTAGTTCAGTTGTTGTTACTTTCTCTTTAGCTGTGACTTCAAACCCTAAGACCCTCACCCCTGTTTTTGTTTTTTTTCCCCTTTGTCTGGGGCCAGTCTGTACAATTGGATTGTTTCAAAACAGGAGAACATTTGTATTTTGGGATGGATTTATAAACAGAAGCAGAAAGTTCAAGAGAAAGAATTCTTGTTTTTCTTATTGTTTCTCACCTTCACCAAGTATTTACTGAGTGCTTAGTATAACTAGACACTGTGGTGTTAACTAAGAGACTGAGGCAAGTGACTGACATGATGAGGATTATCAAGGAACAGAGAGATGAAGGGAGGCCTGGAGAACTATTTCAGGAAAGAACTATAGGATTTCAGGGAGTACCATAGCAGAATTAGGAGGATGAGTGCCCAGGGCTTGTCTGGAGACAATCAGAGAAGTAAGGGTCTCCTGCTGGAGAAGAGTGGAAATAGTAGAGGCCTCTCTGCGGAGGCTGTACATGCTAGGCACAAGCATTTGGCCTATGAAGGTTTTTATTGGGGTGGACATGCACGAAAATTTGTTTTGAATAGGGGATTAGGGTTAGTATGTGAAGAGGGACAAGGAATGGTGACAGAGGCTTGAGGGCAGAGGCTGTGTCTTAGTCATATTTGTGTTCCCAGATCCTAGTTCATACTTAATGCTTGTTGCTTTAATGCACATAACAGGTTATCTTTTTCCTCCTAAATAGCTAATGCTCTTGATAACCATTGGCTTTGTCAATGGTATGACAAATATTGTGAAAGAATCTCTTCATGACCAGTGTTATTTTGTTTGAAGGGCTAAAGGTAGACAACTTTAGCCTGCCTTCGAGTCTTTTTTTTAAATTTTGATTTTTAAAATTGTAAATTGAAAAATCATAGTTGTATATATTTAAGGGGTACCAAGCGATATTGTGATTTATGAATACAACGTGGAATAATTAAATCAAGCTAATTAACATATAAACCACTACCACCTCAATACTTATCATTTCCTGTGGTGGGAACATTTGAAACGTACTCTTAGCAATTTTGAAATGCACAATACATTATTCACGATGCTGTGAAATATATTTCAAATAAAAAAACCTCCCTTCTTTCTCCTGTCTAATTGAGGCTTTGTATCCTCCAAGCCCTATTTGCTTCTCTTTTCATTCCTCATTTTCCTCCTTAGAAGACAGGCACTCAGCCATTGTTACAGAAATTACACAACATGCCCATTGGCAATCTCTGTCTCGTCCATCCTTAATAGATTCTGCAAAGTCTTAAAACTCTAATAAAAAGACAGCCCACACAGACACACATTAAAACCGGACAGCCCCACACACACTCCCAACAGAGCCTGGCAGCGATATAAGCTCCCAGATAAAGTGAGTTCACACCATGCAGATTTAAGCACACGCCTACTCTCACACGTGCATCGCATGCCCTAGGCGGCGCAGCCATTCGTTTAGGCACTCACGTACCATCCTTAGCCCCCCTACACACTCTCGTTCGTGCACGCACTCTGGGTCCACGCACGTGGCACAAGGCGCCCGACCCTGCCCGCTTAGTGGCTCAGGGGCGGTCAAGACACGTCACGCCCGCGCGCCGGCTACGTCATCAGGGCGCGCCATTGCAGCAGGCGCGGACCTGGACTTGAAGTGCCGGCAGCAGCTGCAGCCCAAGCTGGAGCCGCAGGGGTGCGAGCTGCCAGGGCGGGTGTTGGCTGCGGGAGGCTGCTCCACCCGGAGCGCCGGGACAGGTGCGTGGACGGGACGCAACTCCTGCAAGTTGCTTGGGCCGTCATGTTCCCCTTTTCCCCTTCCCCAGCTCGGGGGTTGCCCCTGAGTAATGGGCCGGGCTCGTGCAGGGGTGGGGGGTCTGGACTGTTCTCTCCTGGGGAGATCAGGATGCCACATGGGTTCCTCTGCGGAGGAGAGAGCCCTTTATGGACTTAGTTCTTTAAGCACCTGACGGGGCGGGGGCGCCACCGGCCAGCCCGCCCAGGTGCATTGGGGGGAATCGAGGCAGCAAGTGTACTCAGAGAGCAGCCAGTGCTGGGGATAATCAATGACAGAAGCCACCATTGATTGGACTGAGCACTCACTGTGTGTCACACATGGTGCTAGACGCTTTGTATTTATTATTAAGTCCTCCCCAGCAACCCAGTGGGTAAGAGCTATCATGTGATGCTCATTTTTCAGATGGGGAAACTGAGGCATAGAAGTTCAGTAGTTTGTAAAAAGGCATGGTAAGCAGTGGAAGATTTAAATCTCAAAGCTGGCCCTCCTGGCTCTGTCGCTTTCAGGTCCCACAGTCCGCTACCCTCGGCTGGTGCTGCCTGGTGCCTTCGGGAATCTTTCTTTCGTTTTTTTTTTTTTTTTTTTAAAGAACACTTCTTGACCTTGGGCAAACTCTGTGGGGAGGGAGGAGGAGCAAAACGTGGACTTCCTATTGGCACGAGTTCTCTTTATCCTCTTCTCATCCCCTCATCCCCTTCGTTTTCTCAGGCGGCGGCGGCGGGCTCCCCCTGTTGTATGGACTTTCTACACCCGAAACTGACAGCTGAGTGCTGAAGTTTTATTTTGTAACACGGAAGAACTTTCATCCCAGGTGCATTGCTTTACTATTCTCTCCTCTGGCCTTTATGTTAGATTGTTACTTATGTAAAATTGTTAAGGATGTATGTAGTTATGCTGAGGGTAACAGTTACTGCAGGAAACCCATGTGGGGATTCTAAGAAATCACAGTATACCCTCCAAGGAACACTGTTAATTTGGACATGACCTTTCAGAATTTTAAAGGAATAATTTAAGGCCAAGTGAGAAATAGCCAAAAGTGAAAATAATTTGAGACTAGAAATTATGTTAGAAAGTTTTTATATTTTAGGTTAATATCTATTATAGGAGTTCACTCTTATTTTCCCTTAGGGTAGAAAAAGGATGATTATTATTATTGTTGTTATTTTGAGACAGAGTCTCACTCTGTTGCCCAGGCTAGAGTGTTATGGCATCAGCCTAGTTCAAAACAACCTTAAACTCCTGAGCTCAAGTGAGCCTTCTGCCTCCCAGATAGGTGTTAGCCACCACACTCGTCCTGAAAAAGGCTTATTGAAAAGGATGAAACATAACATATTTTAAAGTAGTTGTACTTTTCTTTTAGGGCATTGTAGATGTATTAAAAGTACAAATATCATTTAGGGCATCACAAGAAAATTAAGAGCTTAATTCAGTTAAAGTGCGAAACTTTAGAGTACCCTAATTGCCTTTGTCCATTTTACATTGCATGAGTATGTATGAATAAATATTTCCAGTATATAATTTAAAAAATTGTCTGTGTATGCTTCCATATAGCATATATTTCATTAAATGCATGCCTTCATTTTCAAGCTGTTCAATTATTAACAAAAATAACTGAAATAAATTTGTATTCACACTTGCAAATGACTATTCATAGCTGTTTTGTTTGGAAAATCTAAGGATACAAATGTTGTATTCTTATATATTTAGGAAGTCTTAGGATACAAATGTTGAGTTTTTTGTTTTTTTCCATCAAGGCCGCCTGAGTTCATATAAACACATCAAAGCCACTTTTTTCACTGACTCAACAGGGTAGAAGTTTACTGGTAGTTCCTTTGGTATTCCATTATAGAGCAAAATAATGTAGAAGTCAGAATTTTAAGTTTTGGTATTTACTCTCTGGATTCCTCGTGAACTGAAATGATATATATTTTTTATAGCACATGATTTGGGAGTTACACTTTGTGACATGGATGAATCTGCACTGACCCTTGGCATGATAGATGTTTCTTATCTGCCAAATTCATCAGAATACAGTGTTGGTCGATGTAAGCACACAAGTGAGGAATGGGTAAGTTTAAGTGTTAAAAGCATTCAACTTAAAAAATTCATTTCAGTGTTGTTTATGAAGGCGGAAATGCTAGCAGCAACATAATACCAAGTAGAGGTTTATAGCTACAGAAACTGCCTCTGTTAGAAGGTATGTTTATTAAGTCTAATAATATTTCTAAACATTTTATGGTATTCTGTTAATTGGGAAGAAAAAAATTGGGTAGAAAATGTAGTTACAGTGATTATGTTAAAAAGCAAAGATATTTTTGCATAGGAAAAAAACCCTAGTAGTTGTTTTGGGTGGTGTAAGAGATTGTTTTTTTCCTTTCTCTTGGTATCCATTTCTCATAATTAAAGAACATGAATTTTATAATGGAAGTAAACTTTTAAAAAATTAAAATAGGAAATTATAGTATAAATTCAATCCAAATAACATGCATTTTTCTTATGTTGTTTTCCCTGTTTCAATATAACATGGCATGTGTTAAATGTTATCTCAAACTGTACAGAAGTAAATTGTGTAACTAAAATGTTTGTACCCCCCTAATATTCTGAAATAAAAAAAATTGAAAGAAGAGAGAAAGTAATGCTCTCCTCTGTAAAAAAGACAAAAAAAAGTTATCTCAAACACTATCTGTTTTATATAAAAATGGTATTATTGCACCTAGTTTTGAGAACATTATATCTGTGAAATTTGAGCAACTGATGAGCTCAAAGTTAAGAAAAAAGTTTTTAGAACAGAAGAAGAGCAAGGTTTGACCCTACTAGAACAGTCTGGCTGTAATTTAAATTCCAAGCTTTAAACTGTCCTGATAAGATAAAGAAATTTTGTATGTTTACCTTGTTTTTATTTAAAGTAAAATATTTTAAGCTGTAGTATAACAACTTGCTCACTATATAAGGCCTCTAGAGTTCTATTGTGGAAGTGTGTGATTTAAAAGGGAGTAAGGTTAACTGTTAGCACAGGGATCCAGGAGTTTGAACTTACTCCTCTTGCTCTGTCAGAAGTCCATTTGACCTTTGACCTTCTACAACTTAGTTTTTAAACCTTTGAACCTTAGTTTTTAAACGTTTGCTGCCTTGAGTATGTAGCAATCGTTATTAGCTATTACTATTCGTAAGTGTTCAACTTTTGCTTATGTGCCAAGCTTTTTTCCAAGTGTTGACCATGGAGGGAGCACTTAAATGAAAACCACTATGTGAGACTCACATAGATATACTTCCAAAAGAAAAATATGCCATACGTTTCTCTTTACCTGAAACATCTCAGTCTTAGAGATCAAATAGATAAGTATAATTCTCTTGCCATTTACACTAATTTTTCCTTAACATTTATTAGGGTGAATGTGGTTTTGGACCTACCGTCTTCAGATCTGCCACTTTAAAATGGAAAGAAAGCCTAATGAGCAGGAAAAGGCCATTTGTTGGAAGATGTTGTTATTCCTGCACTCCCCAGAGCTGGGTAAGAACATTACTGCTTGTTGACCTTTCATCAAAAGTGAAATATGTGACAGATTTCCAACTTTGTGTGAATTTTTAGTATGTAGGTTTTTTCCCCTCTTTCCCCTCCTCTACTCTGAAAGAATGTAGCAGGTAGTCTTTTTTTTTTGGAGACAGAGTCTCACTCCGATGCCCAGAGTAGAGTGCCGTGGCGTCAGCCTAGCTCACAGCAACCTCCAACTCCTGGACTCAAGTGATCCTTCTGCTTCAGCCTCCTGAGTAGCTGGGACTACAGGCACATGCCACCATGCTTGGCTAATCTTTTTCTATTTTTTAATAGAGACAAGGTCTATGCTCTTGCTCAGGCTGGTCTTAAACTTCTGAGCTCAGGCAATTCTCCCACCTAGGCCTCCTAGAGTCCTGGGATTACAGGCATAAGCCACCGTGCCCAGAGCTTAGTCTTAATTGACTTAATTCACTTTTTAGAACTGAGGCCCACTTTTATAAGCCAAATATTCCAAATAAAGATGTCAACTCAATTTTTCTTTTCATTTATTCAGTAAATATTGGTCCCATAATTGATGCTAGGTAATATTCTAGTTCTTTTGTGGTTTTCATATGATTTAGGGTGAGAGTTGAGCTTACTTTCAGTTAACTCTTCCAAAGAGTGGGTGGGAACCTTTGTGTACCTTCTGGGTGTTGAAGTTTAGCATTTAACGTTAAAATCCTAGCAATATGAGAGAGAGAGAGAGAGGAGAGAGGAGAGGGGAGAGGTCAGAATAAGAAGTTAAAGCTGTGACTTCACTCTTAGCTTTTGCTAAATTTCTGTTCCTGGGGCGTTTTGACTTTGTGATAGTGAAGGACGGTCACTGAAATGTCAATGTTAAATGAGTATTTAAGAATGAGTGTGTACGGGTTTGTTATGTGTATTTTGGTGAAGAAACACAAACCTTGTAGTATCTTCCACATTATGGTATAGTTAGTATTTAAGAAGAGAGTTGATTAGAGGAGAGGTGTGCTTCTGCTGGCAGTGGGAGTGAGGGATGAGTGAGCACAGGAATGTCGGATTTCATGTGCAGTGTTGTAAGGCAGTAGAGTTACCTTTTAAAAGGTATATCTGGATGTTAAACTCTCCCTGGGATAGACTAGTTCCTAGGATGTAGAATTTCTATCATTTAAGTGCCTCCCATTTATAGAGGTTGCTTAAAACCTGTGTGAATAACTAACTGTGCTGTGTGAAGTTTTTACTCAGGGTTGGGTTGGCAGGAAGTAGAATTCTGAGTCTGATATAAAGGGATTTTTTAACATGGGAGAAAATATCGTGGAATCCAAGCAGTTTATGTTCAATGCTCAGGTCTGCTCAAGAATGTTTTGTTATAAATACTGCTTGTCTTAGACCATAAGTGCCTTGTTGCAAGAATTTGGTATTAATAAAATTGAAGGATTATGGAAATTTCTGGTTTAGAAATAAGGACAGTTTACATTAATAGGTCAGCAGAAATAAAGATTTATTAGAAGGTCATGTGGCTTTTCTTTTTAGATCTGGCATCTCCTCTAATTCTAATTTTTAATGTTTATTCAAAAAAATACCTTAACTACAATGTATTCTTAAGTCAGAGGACATATAGGAAATTATTTGATGATTGTGATGGTTTGGAGTGGGGATTGATAGAGTAACAGGTAATTGATTTTTGCTTAAATATAGTACCTGATGAAGCTGAACTTGATCTTGAATTTCTTCCATGGCATGTTCATTAAAATATAATTTGTTTAGGCTGGGTGTGATGGCTTACCCCTGTAATCCCAGCACTTTGGGAGGCTGAGGCTGGAGGATTACTTGAGGCTAGGAATTTGAGACCAGCCAAAGCAACCCTGTTGCTACCAAAAAGAAAATTTTGTTTAAAAATATTTTTATAGTAAGTTTTTGATATTTGTTATCCTTTCTCTGAAATCCCATTTTCCTTTTATTTAAGGAGATTTCACTTACGTATTTTTATATTAGGCAGCCTAAAGCTCAGTGGCTCATGCCTGTAATCCTAGCATTCTGAGAGGCCAAGGTGGGAGGATTGCTTGAGGTCAGGAGTTCAAGACCAGCAAGAGCGAGACCCTGTCTCTACTAAAAATAGAAAAATTAGCTGAGCAACTAAAAATAGAAATAAAAAATTAAGCCAGGCATGGTGGCAAGCACTTGTAGTCCCAGCTACTTGGGAGGCTGAGGCAGGAGGATCGCTTGAGCCCAGGAGTTTGAGGTTGCTGTGAGCTAGGCTGATGCCAGGACACTCTAGTTTGGGCAACAGAGTGAGCGCAACAGAGTGAGACTCTGTCTCAAAAAAAAAAAGTATTTTTACATCTTTTGTTGAGGGTACATTATATTTTTTCCAGCATGTATTTGTGGAACAGTTACCTTTTGCCCACATGGATAAAGCTATAGATTTTCTCTGTTGTCTGCGTCTGTCTGTGTCTTTAAAGATCACCTGTACAGAGGAGGACCTGTACATTTTCTCATTAGATGGACAGTTATTTTAGGGGAATAGAAAGCCCATATTCTTTGGAGCAAGATCTGGGATGCATTTCTAAACCCTTGTCAGCCTCAATTTCCTCACCTATAAAATGAGGATAATAATTCTTATGTGTCAGGATTATTGGAAGATTTAGTAATTTAACAATAATTGCATGGTACTTAGCATAGTCTTTTTGAATTTGGGAGATACTGAAATCTCTGGCATAGCTTCAGCTCTTTCACTGTGGAGATGAGGAGTGGGGCAGGAAGGGGAAAGGCACTATTTCCTTTGATTTCCTTTTATTTTTTAAATCTCTTTCTTCCTCAATATCCTTCCTTTATTTCCTTTGATTTTAAGGTTTTAAGGATTAATTTTGAGTTTGTAACTTTTTTTGAAGACTGAAAAGTACTTTTTAATAAAACATATTTTTTCTTCATTACTTAGATTTTTGAAGCAATGCCTAACTTTATGCTTGAATTTTAGAAGTCATTGAGAACTAATAATGTGAGATCTTCACCATCAATCCAGTTGTGTATTTATGCCTACATTTACTTTGTTTTATATAGGATAAATTTTTCAACCCCAGTATCCCGTCTCTGGGTTTGCGGAATGTTATTTATATCAATGAAACTCACACAAGGTAAAAAGAAATTTCTTCTGCTTCTAATAAATCTAAAAAGGAAGATTCCATAATGATCAATTAACACACTTTAAGATGAAGTTCTTTATGTTTTTGACAGTTAATAGAATATGAGCTTCTGACATAAGAGGCTTTATCTAAAAATTGGAAGCAATACAGCCATCAGAGAGACCTAATAGTATTGTTACCACGGCTGTAATTATACATATTTTCATGGGAGTGTAGATGTCACTTGTCGTGCTCTTTGACTTATTCATATACTGATTTTGCATATGAAGTGTGCCAAAATGTGGGAAATATTTGTCTGAGGGGACATGCAGGTTCAAATGTCTTAGGATCTATTATGACTATTTTATGCTTTAAAAAAGTATACCTGATTAAAATCTGCCTAAAATCTAATACCTAAGGATATTTTTCTCTATTGAGCAAATGTTCTTTGATTTATTATTCACCCAAGACTTTTCTTAGAATTCTTACTTCCAAATTCCAGGCATATGGGGATAGGCTAATAGGTACCAGAGTGAGAGAAAAGGCCTTTGTTTTATCTGAATCTGGGCTAGGGGACAAGGAAGGAGGGTTGGAAGGCCGTGTGAATGTCTGTGAGGCAGGAGAAGCAGTAGCCAAAAATGCTGCCAGTCCTTGTAACTCGGAGAGTAGAGGCCTGGAATGGGGTGAGTGGGTAGGCTCAGCTGATGAGAAATAACTGAAACTCTATTGAAAAGTTGATCCGAGAAGTCAAATACTTAAAGTTGAAACTTTTCTGATGTTACTTCTCATAGTTTGATGATGAGATCACATATGAGAATGATAATACCTGCATATATGGTAAATCTTTTTAAAAAAAGAACTAAAGTCAAAGACATGGAACATATTTTTCCCATTCCCAGGCTAATATTCTCTCTCTCTCTCTTTGATTTAAAGGAGAGAGATGAGACTCTGGGCCATGGATTTTTTTTTTTTTTCCCTTTTCTTGGTTGACATGATTAAGATCTTAAGAAAAGGGGTCTCCTAGAGTCTCTTCTTTGTGCAAGTAGACATTTTGTATACAAAGCCAAGAGGTGTGTTTGTTGCTCTCAGTTAGATGCAGTTAAGAGAAAGAGCATTTGCTGTATTGATTAGGCCATGTGAAACTATTCAGTGAAATAAGCTGCCTGTGCAGCTGTTTAGCCCTACATTTATATGAAGCAAAGCCTAAACATTTCTACACAGCCATGCTCTCACACACACACAGTCATAAAAACAATGCTTTCAGTCAATTGCAAAGGGATTTCATAGAGAACCTGGACTTTGTACATTCCAATAATACTTCTGAAAATGTTTGCTGAAGGAAGAGTTTAGAATTAACACAACATATTGGGCACATTTTCAGAAGATTGAGTTAAAGGAAAGGAGGAAGAAAAAGAGCATGGCAGGAAGGAGAGATGAAGGAACAGGTGATTCATAAACAGGCCACTCTCAAATTACTTTTTCTCAGTTAAGGGCTTTTTGGATCTTTTCAGAGTTAATGGATTTATATTTGAAATCTGCTACTGTCTAAGGCATCCTCAAACTACGGCCTGCGGGCCACATGTGGGTGTTTTTGCCCGTTTGTTTTTTTACTTCAAAATAAGGTATGTGCAGTGTGCATAGGAATTTGTTCATAGTTTTTTTTAAACTATAGTCCAGCCCTCCAACAATCTGAGTGACAGTGAACTGGCCCCCTGTTTCAAAAGTTTGAGGACCTCTGCATATCATTATGGAGGAAATGATCATGCTGCATTATGTAATCGTTACAAATGGTTCCAGATCATTACGTAATGGAGGCTCGTAGGGTTCTTATTCTGAACTCCATCTCTCCATCCCCTCATCTAGACACCAATAGTCACTCTCACTGACAGGCACATGTCCTATCCCTTAGGTATGTTAAAAATGTGAAGAACAAAAAAGAACTTCTGGCTTTGTGAGCCCAGAGTACAGTTATTTAGATCATAGACCAATTATGCTTGACTTCTCTCAAATACTCAGCTTTGTCAATTCAAATTGGAGAGTGAGTGATTATCTAAGAAAAAAACTATAATAAAGAAATTAGTCCTTCAGGGTAGGGAAAGACTTCCAAATTTATCTTTTTATAGCCCATAGCTATAACTCTAAGCTATATAGCTTATCTATGTTTAATATATATATATATATATATATATATATGGCATTCAACATATTTGCTTTTTTAATGATATTAATAAAGTCTGATATTTTGTTGCTTTTATTTTTATAGTAGGGTTATTATTCAGCACAGTTAACACTATTCAAGCATTAATACACAAATTCCAAGTTTTAATTTTAGCTAAGAGTACATGTAAGAAATTATAAATAAAATTGGCTGCACAGCATCCTGAACTACTAAGGATAATGTGCTACAGGAGAACCCTAAATCTCAGGAATCGATGACATTAAGCTTTGTTTTTATGGGCAGAAAATCAGTGTTTAAGCAACTTGTTTTAGGTGTGCCTAGGGTACTTCTCTGCTAATTCATCTTCACGTTGCAGGCACCGGGGATGGCTTGCAAGACGCCTTTCGTATGTTCTTTTTGTTCAAGAGCGAGATGTTCATAAGGGCATGTTTGCCACCAATGTGACTGAAAACGTGCTGAACAGCAGTAGGTGAGGGCTGGGCACTGGTGTGAAGGTGGGCAGAGCAGGGGTTGGTTGTGGGAGTGGGAGGGGGAATAATTCCCTTTAGCGACTTGTAATTTCTCTGAGACTCTGTCTCAATAAGTGTTTGCATTTCCACACATTAAAGCTCCAAAGGAAACCAAGGAAAGGCAGGGGAACAGATGGTTTTGGTGAACTGTGCCCTGTGGGAATAGCAGTCTTGTTTTGTGGATTAATATTGAATGCGTTTCTAAAACACGAGTGGTTTAAGGAGGTTTAACCTCATCCTTTCTCCCATAAGTCCAGTGGAAGATTTATAAAACTGGATTGGATTTTTCCTTTTACCTCACTGCTTTTTGCTCTATGCTGTGATGTTTTGATCTTGAACTGTGCCTTTTTAAAATTACTGGTTTGATTTTAAAAAAATTTATGTTTCTCTTTGATCCCTCCCAGAGAGTTTTACATATAGTTCTAATGGGGTCACAATAAAATCAATAGTAAATTAGGTCTTCAAAAAAAAAAAAAAAAAGAAAAATCACACATTACTTTGGCAGTGGGCTTTTTGGTCCTTCTGAGTTATATGCCTAAGGGGATAACCTTCTTTTTCTTTCTTTTGCTATGGTGCAACTTTGTGTCCCTCACAGCATAACTGAAATGTAGAAATTCACATAGTTGTCACCCAGTGAATTTGAATTAAATTCTTAAGTCTGCTGTCCAGATTCCTCAGAGATTCATTGATTTAGGAATATAATGTCCTTAATATTTAATAGACAGCCAGAAAAAGCGCTTCTAACTTGAGCTTATTCTCTCATTTTATCACATAAAGAGACTGTACATTTTGTTTTGTGATTTACAGTTGTGGTTGGGAAAGTACTGAGTACAGACTGTAGCATAGAGCCAGTTACATTGTCTGTCCTTACCTTTTCAAACCAGAGTACAAGAAGCAATTGCAGAAGTGTCTGCTGAACTGAACCCTGATGGTTCTCCCCAGCAGCAGGCAAAAGCCATCAATAAGGTGAAAAAGAAAGCCAAAAGGATCCTTGAAGAAATGGTTGCCACTGTCTCACCATCAATGATCAGGTATTAAAAGGCAAGGCACAAAGCTTTCAATAAGAGTCATCCTGTTTTGAGCAAATAGGTCTGAATCATTGGATTTTCCTCTCCTAGCACAGTGCTTTGTCCAAAAGATGTTTTTATATATTCTGATGTTAAATTCAACTCTTCTTTGTGTTCTCATTCAACTACCATGTGAAGTAGCACTTTGGTAGGTTTGAAAGTGCCTTTCTCTCTGCTAATTGATAGCAGCCAGTGTGTTACTGCTGATGTCTGCTCTTCTAGACAGTTGTGAATCAAGTTTCACGTATCCATGTCCTAAAGGGAGTGGTTTGCATGCGTTAGAGGGGTCATTCTGCTCACCAAATACTCATTCGGCTTGGTCATTCACCTCTGAAGTATAACGTGTTATTAGCGTGAAATGTGATTTTAGTTCATGATAAATGGATACTTCTATAAGTAGCACATGTATAAAGTTCTCTAATTCTGCACTTCAGATGCATGAATGCACGTGAGTGTGTGCACACACACACAAAGTAATTTATAAGTACTCTTAGGTTGTTCAGAAACTTGAGTAGACAAAAGTCAGCAATATATATTCATATATATAAATATATGTACGTACATTAAAATTTTCTTTCTTTTTACTTTCAGACTGACTGGGTGGGTGCTGCTAAAACTGTTCAACAGCTTCTTTTGGAACATTCAGATTCACAAGGGGCAACTTGAGATGGTTAAAGCAGCAACCGAGGCAAGAATTTCTGTGCATCTGTCCTTCCATTTTTCTCACATTTGTAGAGTGATTTTATAGTTTCTTTGGAAATGTTGTTTTGTATACTGATGTGCATTTCAACCCATTTGGGTGGTTTTCCTCATCTGTGATAACGTGGGTAACTGTATTTGGGGTAGAGGAGTGGAGTAAGGGAAGACCCACCAGCAATAAACAGGATTCCTTTTGTAAGTTACCTGCAGCAACCCTGAAAATCTGGTAGAACAATCCTTATTTTATAGAGGAGGAAATAGAGGCACAGATCGAGAAATAAATTGTCTGGTCCCAGATAAGAAGCATCTTGCCCCAGATTTCAAACCAAACCAGGCTTTACTCCAAAACCTGTGCTCTTTTTACGAGAGTAGATCTGCTTCGCAGAAGGGATATATATAGAACCAGTTTGATTACTTTTGATTATTCTTTTTCCTCCAACTCATTTCTGTTGTTACAGTTGTTCTTGATTTTAGCTCTATAAGTGCTAAATTGGAAGTTCATATTATTGGAAAATGTTTTTAAAGATTGAGTCAGTGATTAGCCAGTACTGGAGTGACTCTAACCAAATATACAGTTACAATGCGATTGAACTTTACATTTGAATTTTAAATTTGGCATTTTTCCCTTTACCAGACGAATTTGCCGCTTCTATTTCTACCAGTTCATAGATCCCATATTGACTATCTGCTGCTCACTTTCATTCTCTTCTGCCATAACATCAAAGCGCCATACATCGCTTCAGGCAATAATCTCAACATCCCAATTTTCAGGTAAGATCAGCTTATTTTGACATTTAAGATATTAAAGAGATTGTGTTTTGAATTTTTGGTTTTTTAGTGTACATTTTGATATGTGTCATTGTAAAATGACATTGGCCTTTTTTCTTTTATTATACATGTTTATTTAAAATTTGGAGAGTACAAAAAAGCATTGAAATTATCGCTATTGTTTTTTTTTTATATTTTTTTAAAATTTCAGTATATTATGGGGGTACAAATGTTAAAGTTACATATATTGCCCATGCCCCCCTGCCCCCCTCGAGTCAGAGCTTCAAGCGTGACCATCCCCCTAATGCTATTATTTATGTATTTTGTATGGAATACTTGGTGAACTGTGAATACCTAGACTTAATGGGCAATATTTATCAAATGGATAAGAGGCAATTAGAAAGGCAAGATAGCAAATTATCTTACCAGGCTCAGCAGTAGGGAATAGTATGTGTGGGGGAGTGAGGTGGGCATGGTGGTTATGGAATGGTATAAAGGTAAACGCAAATAACCATACCTATTACTTTGACCTCATGATTCAGTAGAGCTAGAACCATGTAAGAAGTACAATATAATGTGAAAGGTATCTTTTGGAGGTGTTTAGGGGAATGCAGTACATTCCGTTCAGAGGAAATAGTATGTACAAAGGCAAAGAGAATCAAGAGCATGGTATAATCAGGAAGTGGTGGCCAATTAGGTGAGGTTAGAGTATGGGATACATTAGGAAGGGTCAGAGACTGGAGGTGGTAGCTGCATAGGCAGTGAGAGTTAGATCAAAACAATTTCTAAGCTGACAGTTTATAATCTATCCTGTACTTGAGAAATGACATGTTTGGATTTGTATTTTGAAAGGTTATTCTGCATTAGAAAGAGTTGATCAATTCTGATTCTATTACAATAGTTCAGGCAAAAGTTAATGAAGGCTTAAATTAAAAGTGTAGTAGTGCTCTTGGAGAGCAGGGCATAGATTTGAAAAATATTTAGTAGATTGAATTTACAAGACCCAGTGCTAATCCAGCTTGATAGGGCTCAACAGAGGGGGGAAGAGGGAGGAAGACTCGCAGGTGTTTACCACCTAAAAAACTGGGTAGATGGTGGATCTGATCAGTAATAAGGAATTGGTGAGGAGTAGGTTGAGTTGCTTTGGGAAATTGAAGTTTCAAACTTCAAAGCACAAAGCATCTCTGAGGTCAGGTCTGTGAGTGGGTAAGAGGAGGATGAATTTGGAAAGAGACTGGAAGGGAATTGGGCTGGCAGCTCGTGCAGGTAGAGTCTTGCAAAATGGCATTCATCACCTTTGTGTGCTGTGAAATCTGGTCATCAGCCTCACAACCCAAGGAGCTCTTTCCTATTCTCTCGGCTCAGAGTTCTATAGCTAACTAGACTCAGCTAGACTGCAGAGAAACTGTTCATTCCTGCAGTCAGTGATATTTACCTAGCTGTGCTTTAGACAAGAGTGAACAAAATACATAGTCGTTGCCATCAAGTAGCTTATGATTTAATGGGGAAGGTAGATAAACACCCAGCTGTAATACAGTGTGATATGACCCTACAAGGTAGACATGCTTTTCCAGGGATTAATTAGACTATCTTTACTCTCTAGGGATCAAGGGACCTGAGAAGCTGAATTAGAAAGTCATGAGAAAGTTTCTGGTGAGGATAGCCTTAGAGTGAGGAGGACTGTTCATTCCATCGGGGCTCTAGGGAAAGCTTGCCTCTTGTAAACTGAATAGTTTGCCTTTCTTGTAATCAGAATAACTCATGTACTCATCTCTTCCATGCCTGGTCCTCAACTAGGATCTCTTGGAAGTGCTTAATACACACTGATAATTTGTTATAATCCCACTTTCTTTTTCATGACTCTATGCCAGTCATTGTGTAGCTCGTCTTTCCTTCAGACATAGCAGACTGTAGATAACCTCACTTATTTATTTGCAGCTTTCTTTTGTTACATCCCAGCCTACACATTCATACACCACTTCTCAGGGTATGTTATTTTTACGGATGGCTCATTTCATTCATGAATTTATTCTGCAGACTTTTTCTCTGAAAGAGTGACATTAAGCTTTGGCAACATCTTACTGTGACCTCCTTGTACTGACTAGAGGATACCAAATTATATATTAATGTTAGTGTCATTCTATTGGAAAAGAATAGGAAGAGGCTGTGAGTTTGGAAAGGTTGACCTAGAAAATTTCAACTTCGTATCAAAATTCATTAGTGTTGTAGAAAGAGACATGAGATTGGGAAAAGAATTGTTTTATGCCAATATATGTGCAAATACTGCAAACTTTTGTTTCATGTTTTAGGAAGATGGTTTTTCTTGGTTTCAGTTGGATAAAATTATTTTTGTCTCACAGGGACCTTCTCTAAGAAATAATTATTTAAGAAAATTTACCCTGAGGAGCTTGTGTAACATCACATTATTTTGTAGTTAATGTGCCATGTGCAAATTTCAGGATGTCTCAGGGTCAGTGTCTTGAGACCCTTGTACAGGGTTTTAAAATTTAAAAGTGTTTCATAATCCTTTTAAAATATATACTATCATTTTTACAGAATATATATCATACAAACTTGTTTGGCTTAGAACAGCTGTAATAGAGCTTCATTATATACAATATATTCCAAAGGCTGATGAATAATGTAAATGACTAAAATATGACAATAATATGGAAAATGAAAAAAATGTCTGCATTTTTGTTAGCAACTCAAACAGCACATATGGCTTACATCCAATTGGCAAATGTTTTCAAGTAACTTGGAATTTGAATATTCTTTTTACATTTTTCTTTGTAAATAATTCATGCATTCTTGAATTTATAGTACCCTGATCCATAAGCTCGGAGGCTTTTTCATACGACGGAGGCTGGATGAAACACCAGATGGACGGAAAGATATTCTCTATAGAGCTTTGCTTAATGGAGTATGTATGATCTCTAATTATCCTTAAAGCCATTATGTTAGTTATCATAGTGGAAGGGAAAAGATACTTGATTTGAGCTGACATTTTAAAAAAGTTGCTGAGTGATTATTGCTGGGGTATGAATTTGATGATTTTTTAAATCACCAAAATGTTGCATTGGAGGAGCTGCTTTGCTATTATTGGTGTGAATAAAATATTTTGTCAGTAGTGAAGTTATAGTTTGTTGTTGTTGTTGTTATTTAAGATTTAGTTTTTCTAAGCTCATTCTAAGTTGGGTGGTCATGAATTCATGTGTTATTTTCTCTTTATATCACAGCATATAGTTGAACTACTTCGACAGCAGCAATTCTTGGAGATTTTTCTGGAAGGCACACGCTCTAGGAGTGGAAAAACCTCCTGTGCTCGGGCGGGACTTTTGTCAGTTGTGGTAGATACCCTGTCTACCAATACCATCCCAGACATCTTGATAATACCTGTTGGAATCTCCTATGATCGGATTATCGAGGGTCACTACAATGGCGAACAACTGGTAAGGGAACTAACTGCCTTCACAAAAGCTGTCTTTACTTTTCAAGTGTTGTTTTTTGATGTAACTTTTAGAATTTAGATTTGCATTTAGAGTTAACTGAGAATATTTTTTTGATAATCTCTAATTTTAAAGCACTGAACGAAACATGGCTGAGTAGGCAAAGTGAGTAGCTTTCCTATTCTATGTCAACTTAATTGGTAGAGCACATAAGCTGTTTTCCTGTGCTTGATTGAAATGAGAGGATTAGATTGATCGGTACAGACCTTGGTCATGGGATTGGGAAATGAGAGAACGCTTGCTCCTGAGTTGCCATTTCTACTGTGGGAGGTTATCTGCGATTGGTTCTTTCTGGGGTTTACTGCTTATGTGCAGATTTAAGTTAGGTCCAAAGAACAGGTAAGATCATGTTGGCAAGCAACTACAAATTAATTTGAGAAGTGGTGGTAATTTTTTCAGAAAACTTTTTATTACTTTTTATTTTATTGTAGGTATTGTGTAATACCTACAAAAAAGTACATAAATCATAAGCATGCTTTTCAAATTATCACAAAGTGAACGTACCCAAGTAACCAGCACCCAGATCAGGGAATAACATGACCAGGACTCTAGAAACCCCCTTTTGTCTCCCCTACCACTATCTCCTCAAGGATAGCCACTTATCTTGACTTTTTACAGAACAGATTAGTTTTGCCTATTTTTGAACTTTATGTAAATGGGATAATGTAGCACGTGGTCTTTTTGCATCTGGTTTCCTTTGTTCAAGCAGTGGTTCTCGAGATTCATCCATGTTGTTACATGTAATTATGTTATAGTTGGTTCGTTCTCAGGGCTGTGTAATAGTCTAGTGTATGAATATTCCTCAATTTGTTCTACTATTGAAACAGAGTTTAGCTGTGTCATTCTTGTAAATTTCTCTTGATGACCATATATATTCATTTTCTTGGGTACGTACCTAGGAGTAGAACTGATGGGTCATAAAGAAAATGTGTGTTCAGCTTTAGTAGATACTGCCAGACAATTTATCAAAATGGTTTTACCAACCTACCACTCTTATCAGCAGTCTGAGAGTTTCAGAGGAATTTAGTTTTGTTCTTATTTAGGGTGGAAGTCTTGGGCAAGGAACTTGTTTCAAGTTTATGCCTCCAAACATGTCGGAAGCTCAAAGACATTTGATATCCAGAGGGTTTGGAATTAAGTGCTGGGTTCTTACCTGCATGGCACTCTTCTCCTCCTGCTGCGAGTCTGTCCTCTACGTGTGCCCTACTCATCCTGTGTCTCAGAGGTCACATCTGAGTCCTTGTGTCTGTTAGGCTTGTCATTGTGCCTTGTGTATAATAAATAGTGCTTACCAAATGAATAATCAGCTCAAAGGCCACCGTGAGGCAGGATTTGGCATCCAGTTGCCTAATGTTTGGTATTTAGACTCTGGTGATCAGCAGACCTCTCAGTGGCCCCTTTGATGCCGTATTTTTATCTGAGAACCACGGAACCATTTTTCAGGCTGTTAATACCCTTTTATCCTTCACTAGTTTGTAGTCGTGTTTTTGTGAATTATATAAATATTGTACTAAATAAAACAGTGTTACGTTTTGTTTTTCGTTGATTGAATTGCCTCTCCCAATGATATGATTGTATCTTTTAACATCTTTGAATGCCAAACATTTTTTGGCAGGTCTCAGTTGATGAATACTTACTTTCCTTCTTCATTCAGTGTTGTGTTTCTCAAGATGAACCTCCAGTTTCCATTAACAGAATGTTGGTGTATGCATTAGCTTTGTTTCTTACCACGTTGTTCTGATTATTGTAATTTAGGGCAAACCTAAGAAGAATGAGAGCCTTTGGAGTGTAGCAAGAGGCGTTATTAGAATGTTACGAAAAAACTATGGATGTGTCAGAGTGGATTTTGCACAGCCTTTTTCCTTGAAGGTGAGTGTGAAATAAAGCACAACTGGGGTCAGAAGATTTGGGCCTTAGAGCTGGCTTCCATGGTACCTCTCTGTGTGGGGCCACAGTTTCCTCTGCTATAAAATGAGGACTATGACACGAGTGGTGCTTCCTAAATTTTTTCTACCAAATTTGCCTATTGACAAAGCAGAATGAGTATCTGTTTTGGGGAGATATCAGGCTCACTATTTATTGCTATTTTTTTTTTTTAATTCACGAGACTCTTATCTGGTGCTTTATAATATATATTGGTATATTACATTTTGTTTTAAAATTGCCGATAGGGGAAATTTTTCAAAACATCTCCCCTAAAAACTGGTAAAATTGACAGGTAGGATGATGCTGTGTCTTTTTGAGTGGAATCTACCACCCACACGTCCCAAGGGATAGCGCCATCTTCATTGAAAGTCTGGGACTGGCAGGTCCTTGAGTTTTTTTGTGATTTTTAAATTCTTAAGATTTTCAAATTAGTAAAGGAGAAAGAGAAGGCTGGGTGAGGAAGTAGGGGACCTAGGGATAAGGACCTCTTCTTATGTTTCACTCCTTGGCTTACCTTTAAAAGATTCTAACTGCTGTGCTAGATGCTTTCTGGCTTTCAGCTCTTAGGAACCTCATCATTTCTTACCACTTTTCTTTTTCTTTGTTTGTAAACTACTGCACAGCTTCTCTATCTTGCTCTGATTTGCTTTTGGATTGAGGTTCTTTTGAATATGATGTGACCCTTGGGTTGCCAGATTTCTTTAAAAATTATGATTGTGTCAGTTATTAGTATTAGTATTGGGAATGTCAAATAATTTCATGAAGATGTGAGAAAAGTTAAAATTTTCCCCATAATTTTTAAATGATTTTGTTTAAGCATTGATTCTGTTCTTTGTATCTTTAGTTCTTAAATTTCATGCTTAACAACATTCTGTGAACTATTCTGAACTTCTAAAGATAGTTTAGGATGTAGGAAGTATTTCCCATGCTCCATGGGGGGCCCATTTTGTAAACACCTCCCTCTTAACCTTTGGAACATCAAATTATATTTTATATGTTGATGTGAATGTGAGAGTAAATGATCCTATTGTGTCTCCCCCCACCCCCCAGGAATATTTGGAAAGCCAAAGTCAGAAACCTGTGTCCACTCCACTTTCTCTGGAGCAAGCATTGTTACCAGCTATACTTCCTTCAAGGTAAGATTTGTGGAAATTTTTTATACTAACTAAACTGTTAAATATCTGTTATTCTTACATTGCATAGAAAAGTAGGTTAACTTTGTTAAGAATGTCCAACTTCCTGTTTTCATTTCCTCATTCCAGTAATTTTTCTCTTGGTCTGATAAAGGATATTGAAATGGCATGTTTTCATATTAGTTTGGAGGTTTTTGATTATTTGTATATAAAATCTTTTTGAATTTTATGAATCATGTAGGAGTTCTTATTTGATTTGTGCTTTTTGAATGTTTGAGCTGAATTTTGTTTTGGTAGTAGATTAGATTATGCATATTGTACATAAGTGGAATGTATGAAAAAGTTTAGCTATTTGAATTTTGTAGAATTCAAATTGAATTGTAACTTAGAAAAATTGAATATGAAACTCTTCTTTTACTATGCGGAAGTGTTGAATTTTCAGAAATGTTTTAAAGTGAGGCATCTTGTTTTATGTATTCTTTTTGCCAGTGCATTTTGGAAGTGATGTACCAAGAGATTATTTAGTCATAACTAAATAAAATGTTTTGGCCAAGGGAGTGTATTAAATATAAAGTACATTATACAGGATAAAAACCCCAGAGAAATACTCTATTTGTGGTTTAAATTTCAAATAGGTAGTATTTTCAAGTATCTAATTCATTTATACATTAGTCACACACAATTTGCCTTGTCAAAGAGTGGGGTTGTAGGTTGATTTTCAAATAACTTTTCAGACCTAGTGATGCTGCTGAAGAAGGTAGAGACACATCCATTAATGAGTCTAGAAATGCAACAGATGAATCCATGCGAAGAAGGTTGATTGCAAATCTGGCCGAGCATATTCTATTCAGTAAGTAAAATGCCAAACTCTTTAATTCTACAATTTAGATTCAGCATGGTGTGGGGCAAACCATGCAGGTTTTAGAATCTGCTGAGGTTAGTTTCCACTTCTGGTTCTAATTGACGGGTGGCTGTGGGTAAGTTATTAGAAAGGAAGTAGTACTGTGGGGATTTGAGATAATATGAATAAAACATCTCACACAGTGTCTGGTAATTAGTAGGTATTCATGTGGTAGTTCTTGTGCTTTTTTAAAAAATAGTATTGTTAAAAGGATTTGTTGCCTCTTGTGAATGTGTGGTTTTTTTTTTTAATAATTTGTGGTATGATGTCTCGGTTTATAGTTGCATGTCCCTTTCTCCTTGGGCTCCATGAGTTTTTTTAATTCAGCAAATATTGTGTGGCCATTATGTACAAAGCTTTGTTTTGGCTGTGGGGAATAAAAATGGAATAATTAATGGTTCTGTACTCAAAGAGCTTATGCTCTTCTCAGTGGGATAGTTGTATACAAATAATTCAAGTGGGAGTGAACCCAGAGCAGAGTGTGAGTTGACTGCAGAACTGGTCTTCCTTAAGTTGCAGGTTGCAGAGTGGTGTGCTATTGCAGAGGCTGCTTTAAATTCCCGAGGCTGCCCAGTGGTCCCTTGGTGCTCAGCCCTGTTGGGATTTCCTTGTCACTATTCTCAGAGCCAGGATCCTGGTCGGATTCTCAGACTTTCAGCCAGTGCTGGCGGGGGGAGGATTTCTCCCCTCATCTTGCTGCTTCCGCTCTGGCTATTCCCATTCCTACTTGACTTTGGGCCAGCGGATTCTTTCTTAAGCACATTTGATTGTGTCTCTCGCTTGCTTAAACTCTGGATACAAAATATAATACATTCTTATTGTCAAAAAGTTGGAAAATAAAGATAACATAGTTAGCAAAAACCCATGACCTAAATAACCAGTTGTGTTGCTGTGTAGGTTCTAAATTTTTTTTTTTATAGTTTTGTGCTATTTTCTACTTATAATACAAACATGTATTCATGTTTTTAAAAATTCTCTATAAATATCCTTTTAAATGGCTATATGTACTGAGTTCTTTTTTTGTAAACACTGGAGACAACTTCAGTTGTGAATTATGAAGTATTCATGAGTTCCTTATCATCTCAGAAAACTCAGAAATGTTATCTTTATTTCAGACCATTCCATGAATATTCTTAGACTTGATTTATATAATTTTCTGCAAATTCAAAGTGTTAGGTTATGCGTGACAGTCATTCTCAAATGTACTTCTGTGCCCTTCCTCCCCACCTCTGGCCAGATTGGAAGAGGAAATGCAAGTATATTGAGCAACCATTACCATGGGCCTTGTGTCAGCCCAATCATTTTATGCTCACACAGCCCAGTGAGCTCCATAGTATTTTTATTTTGCCACCGAGTAAACTGAGGCTCAGGAATTTAAGTAATTTCCCCAAGTCATGAAATTAGTAAAGAAGTAGGATTTGTGCCCAGATTTTTCTGACTTCAAACTCATTCCCAATCACCTCCTTCCCCACCCCACCGCACAACTCTGCCTTCATTTTAATGTGGTAAATTTTTAAGAAGAGTGAGGTAGAGTTGTGGTGAGAGAAGACTGCGGCCAGGAACAAGTCAAGGAATATGACAATGGGATAGCCTGGGGAACTAAAACAGGCTTGTATTTTGGGTCTTGGTATTTTAATAAAGGTGTCTTTTGTTCATTCACTAACTCAATTTATTGGCTTGTGTTGAAGATGCACCTGTCTTAGCCTGTTATATGATTAATAGTGATTTCTAAGGAGGTTCCATTGTACAGTGTAGAGAACATTGTGTAATGTTATTTTTGGTACATCACACTTATGGGAATGTGGTAGAGGACTTTTATAGTTTTAAATATTCTTATTTAAAATTTAGGTACTTTGAAAAAGTTTCAGCTGTATATAAAAAAAGTGCAACTAAGGTTTTGTGTTTGCCTTCCAGCTGCTAGCAAGTCCTGTGCCATTATGTCAACACACATTGTGGCCTGCCTGCTCCTCTACAGACACAGGCAGGTATGTCTGCAGTGTCACCTGCTTCCCCTAAATAGGAAGCAGGGGAATGTTTTGTCAGCTGTTTAAATACTTATTCAGCGGTAGATTTGGCCCATTCCTGGCTAGTACAATGAGGTAAACAAACAGTAAAATAAGCTGAGGACACTGTCCAGAGAAGCTTATCAATCTGATGGGGGAAAAATCTACATGAAAACCAACCAGACTGCTCAGCCTGCTTAATATGTGTAGTAATAAGACATTCTTTGATTAATATTATTAATGTAAATAAGGTATATTTCATTGACATGCAGTATGTATGCTGACAGTGAATACTTTATGAGGGAATTGATTTGTATTTTAGAACCTACCCTCTGCCCTCTCACAATATGCCTATCTAAGTTGTATGATGGGAGAGAACATGTCTGTCTTGTTTATAGTTGTGTTCTCAAACCAGATGTGATGCCAATATATAGGCACCAAGCAAATATTAATATTTGTCAGGAAAATACTTAAACTGAAGGGAATTCTTGCTGAAAAAGAAGCACTTCTTACTTTCAGATGGCTTTCCTTTCCCTTTGTTATCTTACACGCTCATATCATGTGTCCTGGTTTGAGTGTTCTCTGGCATGTGGAATACCTTGACATTCCCGGGGGACCAGCTTTTGAAGCCACTGTCTGACTTGCTCTGCATTGCTCTTCTGGCTCAGTTTTTGCATGTGCCAACAGTGAGCTGCAGGAAAGCCAAAGCAAGGAGAAAATCTTGGAATATTGGCCTTTGGGCCTTTTGGAAAGGAGGTTTTCCGATATGATGAGACCCTTTCTGTCTCTTTTTTTTAGGGAATTGATCTCTCCACATTGGTGGAAGACTTCTTTGTGATGAAGGAGGAAGTCCTGGCGCGCGATTTTGACCTGGGGTTCTCAGGCAATTCAGAAGATGTAGTCATGCACGCCATACAGCTCCTGGGAAATTGCGTCACGATCACCCACACTAGCAGGAATGATGAGTTTTTTATTACTCCCAGCACAACTGTCCCTTCGGTCTTTGAACTCAACTTCTACAGCAATGGGGTCCTCCATGTCTTTATCATGGAGGCCATCATAGGTATGTCAGGGCTGGAAATATTTTCAGATATTTTCATGGAAAGTACCTAACTTGGGTGATACTCCCTTGTTTGAGGGAATGCATGGCTATGTTTATAGTTTTCAAATGAAAATGTAATCTGCTGTTATATCACTATTTCTAACTATAATGAGTAGTTACTGGATTACCGTCTGCATTGTATTACACTTATTACTAAGGAGAGATGAGGTGCCTTGCTAGCCGGGAGCTGCAAATTTAATGAGACGACACATTATACACAACAGTAAAGTGAGGGGAGGGCCTCATTTGTGAGTAGAGAAAACAGTGAGGAAGGGTAACAGGGCACTGATGCTTGTGGGGGAAGGTTTTTGATGGAGTCAGGGTTACATGGAATCCTAAAAATCAAAACTTGTGGGATTTACTTCAATTTCTTTAGCAAATACAGGCTACTGTTTTTTGATATATTAACAATCTCTTAAGGTAGTGCAGATTATCCAAGCTAGGTGAAGTTGGTCCTGGAGACTTAGAGCTAGCAACTTCATTGTTGCTTTCCTTTCTCAGCCTGCAGCCTTTATGCAGTTCTCAACAAGAGGGGCTCAGGGGGCCCGGCCGGCAACCCCCCCAGCTTGATCAGCCAGGAGCAGCTGGTGCGGAAGGCGGCCAGCCTGTGCTACCTGCTCTCCAACGAGGGCACCATCTCGCTGGTGAGTGGAGACTCTTCCGTGTTCCTGTTCTCTTTTGCTTGAGTATTTTCATGAAAACATAAACCACTTAGGTTTTTCTCTTAGAGAATTTTTGGCCTACCATTGATGCTTTATATCCCATTCCTGGGTTCCGGTGACCACCAAACCAATATATTGTTTACTATCTCGGTTTGCTCCCTGGCTCGCTGCTCTGGCGAATCCTTCGTGCAGCTACGGGGCATGATGGGACAGACCGCTCAGTGTTCTCAGACAGTCAGATCCAAAGCTGCACATAACTGCACATAAAGCGCTGGGTCAGTGGTTCGTAAATAATTAACGCACCCACCCGTAGATAAAGGAACCACAGATGATAAGAGTCAGAAACAGCCTTAAAAATCATCTTGAGCAGATGATTTTTAAGGTTGAACACTTCTCAATTTACAAATGAGGAAATTAAGGCCCAGCAGTACTAATGAGCATTTGTATTATATTTAAGCACTTTTAGACATTTAATCATGAGGCATATATATTAAGCAATAAAGAGATTTCCCCCTTGAAATCATGAACAAATAGAATTCACATTTTATTTGAGTTCTGATATTCTCTTTTACTTACATGGCTGTGTCTTGGGACATTTACGAGTGCGTGTGTTCGAGTACAGCCCTCGTGCATGTCATTCTTTGTGTGGGGTGTATCAGTGGTGCTAGTGGGGAATCTGTTTTACATGAACTTTGGGTGACGGGAGGGGAGGGGTGGGGGCAGATAAGGCTCCTAAGATTGACCATGTCCTTTCCCTGGGTCTTTCTTGAGTTATGCGTATGTTCCGTCTCCTCATTGACCACTTTGTGTACAATTTTTATTGTAAGATAGCTTTTGCAGGGAAATTGCCTTATGAAGAAAGAGGAGCAGCTGCAGGGACCTTGCAAGCAGCCCTTCTGCGGGCTTGCTCCTCCGGGCTGAGAATTGAGCTCAGCGCCATTCGCAGGTGGTGCCACATCAGGTGCTCTGGCAGTCAGGGGAAAGCGGCCTCTTCTTGGACTTTGTCCATGATCTTGTGTTTATCAGGAGGTGGGCGTCAGAGATCAAAGGAGCAGTAGCCCTTTGATCAGTTGTCCAGTAGCAGGAGGTAGGTGAAAGAATGGGAATCTGGCAGCTACCTTGTATAGCGCTTTTTGTCTTTAAAAAAAGAAGCATAAGACAGTGACATTTACAATTGAATGACTTTTCTTTTCAGCCCTGCCAGACCTTTTACCAAGTTTGCCATGAGACAGTAGGAAAGTTCATCCAGTATGGTATTCTGACAGTGGCAGAGGTAAGAGGAAGAGCCTTCCTGTATTTGTCTTTATTTAGTTACTTGTTCTTTATGTCCTTATAATTTCTGCCAGTTATTTAAAGCAAATAATTACATTTGCTATATAGTCACGTTCAGATGAAGAGGTAACTAAGAAAGGGAAGAATAAATATGTTTTGGGATTGTTTACTATTTTGGCTCCTTTTGTATAAGTGGTATTGTCTAAAACACACCTTCACTTGATTCCGTGGCGTCCAGAAGTTTGATTCTAAGGTGTGATGTTGTATGTATCCATGTGCTTATAGCTTGCACATCTCAATTTTTCTTTTTTGAGATTTTGTTTTAATTTTGGTAGATTTAGTGTGAAGGGTATGGCTTGGGAGAGTAGATACCCATTTAGAAGGTGTGAAGTAGTTTTTATTTGATCTGTGTGGTAGCTCTCTGCTCCCATCCACCCTTTGTTTTCTCCTCTGCTATCTCCTGAGCTAATTGAGTTTGAAAAGGGAAGTGGACTGACGTGATGAATTGCTGAACAAAGAGCTGGGAAGGGACTTTGGAGAGGACTGCTCTGTCTGGGCTCCAGCTGGGTGGTTGTTTGTGTGCTGTGCATACTTACTCACTGTTGGTTGTCTCCTTGGCCCAGCAAGATGACCAGGAAGATATCAGTCCGGGTCTTGGTGAGCACCAGTGGGATAAGAAACTTCCAGAACCTTTGTCTTGGAGAAGTGACGAGGAAGATGAAGACAGTGATTTTGGTGAGGAGCAGCGAGATTGCTACCTGAAGGTACTTTGGTGAAGGATTCTGGTGGTCATTACGGTGATACATTAAGGGTTAGGTTGCAACTAGATAAACTGGGACTCTGGTGACTTATTTGTATCTGAAGTACCCACTCACTAGCTCTGGTACCTTCTACATAGTAAAGATACTCAAACTGTTCGAGTTGAGTAATACGTTACGTTGTTTAGTTTGGGTATCGGTAAGTGGAAAAGGAAACAAGAATGTGAAAAGTCAGGAAGATGGACATGATAGGTGATATCTTTTGTTACCCTCACGACATACACAGACAGGTACATACCTATTTGCCCATACCTGCACCTACTTCTCATGAGGTAGTATTTTTGTTCAGTCATCACCAAAGCAGGGTAGTACGTGGCAAGTACGGTTAGGAAGTTAATTTTGAGCTGTCATTGGCCTGTTTTTTTTTTTTTTTTTTTTGAGAGTCACTCTTACATCCCTCCCAGAATTTCATGCATTGAGCTCTTTGCCTTCAGTTCAGATAAATCCTATTAAAAGAGAAGATTTGGATTTTTAAAAGATTATTCCTGATTTAGAAAAATCAATTTCATCTAATTTATATTTTTGAAATTATCAATAATGACCTATCTTCTCTGAATACCCTAAGTGGATTATTCTCTTTGCAGTGGGATAAGCGCTCTTAGTTCACACACACACACATACAGTCAAGAGGTATAGCTTCTGAGGATTCCAAATGACATTTAAAAATCCTCTCTTTTTTGATATTAGTTTCAAGATTGGGCAGTGATCTTGCTTTCACACTCCGGAGGGGCTTAACTAAACCTGTGTGTTTTCGGTAGATACAGTGAGAGCCTCTGTTGCCACAAAGCACCCTTCGCCGTGGCCAACACTCCTCACGGCGCTGAGTGTGGGTGAAGGCCATGTCGGGGAGGCAGGAAGTGCGGGGCCAAGGAAGGACTGCGATGATCTTGGTAGTCTTGCCTCATGGCCTTTTTGGCTCTTGAATAACCATTGAACTCTGGCTTCAGATCCTGGAGGGCCCAGCCTCTCAGAACCAGCCAATTTTCATTGATGACAATATGTCGTAATTATGGTGTTCAGTTCTAAAAATTTCTCCTAGGCAGTTGTTCAATGAACACAAGCCTCAAATACTGTAAAAGTGAATGATTACAGGAAAGAATGCATTTCAAAACCAGTAGTTGCTTCCAGCAGAGATTCTCTGCCTGAGGAGCAGTGGGCTGCTTTCATGTCATGTTAGTGTGAGTGGCCGTCTTCTTCAGTTACTGGTTCTTTAAAGAAAGTTCTCTGTGTGCTTGCTTTGTGTCTCTTGTCCCTTCCCCATGGCTTTGTCTCTTGCACTCCCAGGTGAGCCAATCCAAGGAGCACCAGCAGTTCATCACCTTCTTACAGAGACTCCTTGGGCCCTTGCTGGAGGCCTACAGCTCTGCCGCCATCTTCGTTCACAACTTCAGCGGTCCTATTCCAGAGCCTGAGTACCTGCAACAGTTGCACAAATACCTGATAACCAGAACAGAAAGAAATGTTGCAGTGTATGGTATGTTAAGTTACTGTTTGGTCTTCTTTTAAAAACTATGGTGTTTTTGGCTTAAGAAGTCTAATTGTACAAAATTGGAAAAATGCAAACGTGTCCTGATCTCTATAGAGTACTACTGTGTTTCTCCGAAAATAAGACAGGGTTTTATATTTATTTTTCCTCAAGAAGACACCCTAGGGCTTATTTTCAGGGGGTGTGTTATATTTTTCAAGTACGATACAACAATCTACATTGATTCAAATATAGTTAAGTCATCTTCTTCTGGAACATCATCATTAACTCTTCAAACCCCGACTTCCATCCTGAATTTCTTGCGACTCTATTTCCTTTAGAACCGTTAGCCCCAATCTCTCATGTCAAGCAATAGAGCTCTCATGGGGCAGATGAGAAGAGCTGCTCCGTTGTCTTTACTGCTCTGCGACGAAATGCATGGGTTGTGCAGATATGCTGCGTAGCCACGCCCATCACTAGGTCTTATTTTTGGGGTAGGGCTTATATTGCTCAAATGCTTAGAAATCCTGCTAGGGCTTATTTTATGAGTAGGTCTTATTTTCAGGGAAACACAGTACTATTATCTGCTTTGGTATGTTACATACATTGAATGTTACAATTGTATGTTCTTAAGTCTGGCTTTCTTCATTTAGCATTTGTGAGATATGTACACGTTGCATGTAGTAGTTCTTGTTGTTGTGTAGTGTTCCATTGTGTAACTGTTTACTACATTTTATTTATTCATTCTGCTATTGATAGATATTTGGGTCGTTTGCAGTTCAGTCTCTGGGTATATTCAGCTTTAGTCGAACTGCCACACAGTTTCTAAGTGGTTATGCCAACTTGCACTCCCACCAACGGTGTGTTTCAGTTACTCCACACCCTGGCCAGCACTTGGTATTGTTTGCTATGTCATCTTTTATAAGAGATGTGATTGGGGTGGGAGTAGCATTTTACACAATTATGGTTTGGAACTAAAACTGCTTTGAATCAGTTTTCTGAGCCAGAAGGGATCTGGAGATAATCTGATCCAATCACCTCATCTTATAGCTGAGGTAACTATTCAAGATCACGCAGCTAGTTAATGGGGTTACCCTGGGTTTAGAATGCTTGTTTTGTGACCTCTAGGATTGTGCTTTTTCTGGTTCCAGGGATGTAGGAATCGTTTATGCATCACTGTGTAGTTTAAAGAAATATTTGCACACTCTCTTATTTGATTCTCCCAGAAATCCAGCAAAATGGGTGTTTTAGGTATTTCCCCTCCCTTCTCTCTTTCCTTCCTTTCCTCCCTTCTTCCCTCCTTTATTTTTCTCTTTCCCCATCCCCTTTGTTCCCCCTTAACAGATGACAAAGTAGGTTTAAAGCAAATCATCCGAGACCTTGCAGGCTGCCAGTGGCAGAAATGGAGCCTGCCCCAGTCTACACTGCCTCACCCAAGCCCTCTTTCTAGCTCCCACACTTTTTGCTGGGCATGAACATTTAACAGGGTTTTATTCTTTCTCTACAGCGGAGAGTGCCACATATTGTCTTGTGAAGAATGCTGTGAAAATGTTTAAGGATATTGGAGTAAGTGTCTACCATTTATGATATTAAAGCGGTGTCAACTTCTGTTCTCTTTAGATCTAGTTAATTTGAGCTACCTTTGTGATGGAGTGGACCCTAGAGAAGGATTTCTGGGAACAGGGGTCGGAGTGGGCAGGGATATGTTGAAGATGAGGCCCATCAGTAGATTTATTTGAATGTTCAGAATTTTGTTGGCTTGACATTCATTCCCAAACTGCTTTTATATAACAGGCATCAGTATGTTTTAAAATACTACAGGTTGAGTATCTCTTATCTGAAATGTTGGGACCAGAAATATTTTGGATTTCAAGATTTTTTCAGATTTTTGGAATATTTGCTGTATACTTACCAATTGAGTATTCCTAATCTTGAAAATTTGAAAACCAAAATCCTAATTATTCTAATGAACATTTCCTTTGAGCTTCATGTCAGCACTCAGAGGAGTTTTAGATTTTGGAGCATTTCAGATTTTTGATTTTTGGATTAGGGATGCTCATCTTGTACCACAGTCTTGGCTGTTAATGATTCCATATGATTTTCGGTTATTTTCTTGTATTTTTACCAGTATTGCTAGAAGTGTCCTCAGGTGTCCTTTACCTTCACATGTCATGTGGAACTTGAGTTCCGTGGAGAGACTAGTGGCCTTTTCTAAGGGACTATCTGTGACTTTATTCTAACACAAGTTTTAAAGTATGGTGCACTGGTTGGACTTCATCCCCCAAAACACCATGCTCGCACCCATAACCCCCACCTCATACACACCCACGTGTGCATTTGCTTAAAGCCAGGATGCAGCTTTATGTGCCTTTGCTGCCTTTTGGGGCCTAGGACCCAGGTCAGGGTTGACAGAAATGTCTTTTTGGGGTTGTTTTTTTTTTTGGCATTTAATTTAACCTAAACTTTCTCTTCAGGTTTTCAAAGAGACCAAACAAAAGAGAGTGTCCATTTTAGAACTAAGCAGCACTTTTCTACCTCAAGGCAACCGGCAAAAACTCCTAGAATATATTCTGAGTTTTGTGGTGCTGTAGGTGACGTGTGGCACCTCTGGCAAGTGAAGGGCACGAGACGAGTCCCCCGTGGGCTCCAGGCTCTGGCTCGAGAGTTGAAGGTGCCGTCGCGAGGTCAGGCCTGCCCTGTCCTGAGGTGATCTCCTGGAAGACAAGTGCCTTCTCCCCTCCGTGGAGCTGTGATCTGCCCGACTCTGAGACGACACAGCAGCCTGCAGATGACACCTGGGGGGACCTCAGCCTCTATTTGCGACTCATAATCAGTAGGTTACAAGATGAATCTCAATAAATTATTTTGCAGCTTATTAAAGATTTACATTTTAAGTACAACTTTTAAGGACTAATTACTGTGATAGACACAGAAATGTAGTTGTATTCTAGAACTGAATCTTGTATGCTATACTTAATGCTGTCAGGTAATTCAATGGTATATTTTCTGATTCATGGGTAATCCTTCCTTTAAAAATAATTGAGTCATCATTCTCTCTTTTTCAGTTTTATCTTTGTCAGTAGTAGCTAAATTTTAAATGGGAGCACCTTTCACCCCAAAGTGCTTTACAAATGAAGGGGCCGATGTACATCACACCCAGGTATCACTGTGCTGTCCTTTGCAGTCAGATTTAGAAAATGTTTTTAAGAGTTACATGAAAACAGACAATATTAGTTTAGGTCAGAAATTGAGATATTATGATCAAACAGCTAACATCAGGAAGTTCATTTGGCCAGCAAAATTCAAGGTAGACTGGCAAGAAAACTTGACATTGAAAACTTATGCTCATACAAAAAAAGTGCCATTGAGTTTTAAATGACCGGCAAGTATTTAGAAACTCCTCCTGTTTTCTGTCTGTATCCCATCTTACCCCTCAGGTGGGACCTGCTTCTCACAGGTACAGCTGTTTCTTGGAAATCCTCGAACCAATTAGCAACTGTCCTCATTTGATTAGCTTGGCCTGATAGACTCATTCGGTGCTCTGGCTGCGGACTGCTGGCCCAGGGCTTTCGTGTACTTCACACAGGTTGCACACGAGCCCCCTTGTCTGGGTGACTGGTACCCACTGGAGTTGTGCTGTGTACAACCTGTGCAATATATGTGGTGGCCTTACTGGCTGGTAAGTGGTCAGAGGCATTTATGGATTTTTAGCTTTGAGCAAAAACCATGGTTCTTTAAAAATTTGTATGGGTTGTATACCTAAACCCTGATGCCATATAGTGGCAAATAATTATGAAGAATTGTCTGTTCCTAATGGGTAGGTGCCTTTTTTGTGAGCAGGGAGCATAGTTGTTAGTTAATTGTGGTAATTATGGTGATTTCTTAAAGATCATGGAGTTAAAATATTTTCTAACAATTTACTGCCCCTTATCTCCATGATATTGTGGAATCAGGAATTTTTCCAGATGAGTATTGCGTAGTTTTTTTGAATTTAATATAAAAGTACTGAGAATTAAGTTTGTACTTTCATAAACTTGGATTTTAAACACTAATAGTGTCTTGTGAATAATATATGTGTTTTGGGAGAGGGAGTGTTACTGATTGGTATTTCATGTTGTATGAAATATCTTGTTTGAGACTCATAGCAATAATGCTATGCTCACTCTTCTAAAATTCTGCATTTAAAATATATTTTTTCTTTGTCTTTATAGGAACTCACATACCATTAAGTCATTGTCAGTTGTAGGGGCTCTGGTGTGGAATGAAATACCACTTTTTAGCATTCCATTTTACCAATTAGGGTAGAAGAATACTTCTTGGCTGCATTTGGGAGGTACCCAGGGAGTCTTATTTATTCCCTCGGGTGTTCCTTATTGGGGGATCAAACATTTCACTAATCTCGTTTTTTCCATCCTCTAAATTGTAGTTTAAGGATTACTCAACGTCTCAGTTAGCTGGAAAGTCAAGGTTGTCGCTGACTTCCCAGTGGACACTGCTGCCCTGCCTGCCACTCCTGCAAAGAGCTGCTGCTTTGCCAGCCTGGGCAGAGACACTAGAGCTTCTCTGGCTTTATTTTCCATCTTGGTTGGTTTGTTTTCCAGAAATTCAGTCAGATGCTTAGGGGAATGCAATGTATGATTCGCTAGCTCTCTCGCCACTTAACTCACTGTGAGTATAAATATGCATGCTTTTTGTAATTAACTGGTGCTTTGAAAATCTTTTTTAAGGAAGAAAAATCTCAACCAAAGTTATGCTCATCCAGACAAGCTGACCTTTGAGTTTATTTCAGCACAACTCATTCTTCAGTGCCTCATGACTGAAAAAAAAATGCATTATCACAATAAGGCTCTTCCAGATAGCGCTATTTTGTTAAAAGATATATTCTCATTGTTTTCAAACAGCAGTGGCTTCCATTAAGGTGAAAGAAACTAGGTGCTTGTAAATAATCTATTACAGTTTACTCTATTGCATTTCTATCAAATGAAATGCATGCCCTCCAGGGGAAGACTGTGAGTCACGTTAAAAAACAAAAACAATAATAAGCAATATAAAACTGCACTTTGTTTTTTAAAATAATGTGCTAAGTAATTCAGAAGAGAGGAAGGAATTTTTTTGCTCTCTTAAAGTTTCAAGAAAAATAAAGGCAAAAGCTAGTGTGACGTGTGTAGAACTGAGAAAGCTTTGAGTCTTCATTTTCAGATCGATTAAGTCTCATGAAGTCATGAGGGTAAGTGGAGAAAATATTTCTGGGATTGCAATGACTGTAAGCTCAGCTTCTGGAATTTCTAGTAACCCAGAGGGAGAAAAAGCATTTCCCATAGTGCTCCATGTATTAGGAGTACTCTGCAAGGTGCTTAGCAGTGTGTTGTAGAAACAGTGTTGCTGACAAATGAAGTTTGCACGTGGAAGCTTACAGCGCACCTCAGTGTGGAAAGGGCTCAGCATCTGGTAGTGAAAACCGGTTTAACTCAGCGTTGCCCACGCTATGTTGACCCCAGGACCTTTCCCCCCTTTGGGACACCTATGTATCTCTCACTAGTGTCCCAGGGAAAACATTTTGGAAACACTGTTAGGTAGTTCTCTAAGGAGACAAAATAGTAAGGAACAGATGGCAGTGCATGCATTTTGTACTATGAAATATTGCATTGAATAGATGTATGCTTCATCCCCGGAGAGAATAAGCACAGAAAACTGTACTCTAGGTGGTCGGAGCTCTTTCCTCTGATAGAAAGCTCAGTTGTCAATGATCCTGGCTTCTTCACTGAAAGCAGCAGAATTAATACCAAGATTAATTGGGGTAAATGGGGTCTTTATTCAAATCTAGAAGGAAATATTGCACAATTGTGTGCAAATTTTTATCCATAGATAGCACCAGTGTTTAGAAATGATAGGACCTATCACTGAGGTTTATAAGACTGACTATGGGATGTAAATCTGTTTTTTAAAATACTCTTTTTAGGAATCTAAGACTTGCCATCTGGCATTTTAGTTTAATACAAACTAATGATTGCATTTGAAAGAGACTCTTGACCTTATTTCTAAACATCTAAAGCTCTGCGATGTCTTGACGGGAAGTGTTAAACTATTTGCCTGTGGTACAAAGAAATGTTAAGATGGTTGTAAAAAGAATTACTATAAAGTACTGTAAAATAACACTGTGTAATTTTGTGACTGAAACTTACTTGGAAATGTTGATTGATTTTTATGCCTGTTAATGTATTGCAAGAAGCACAGAAATGTAGTTTCGTTTTAATAAACCAAAAAATGAACGTATTCTTGTTGTCTTGGATTTGTAGTTAAGTTTTCCTACATAATTCTTTATATAAACTATTGTTCTTGTTTGATTTTACATAGAACCTTATTTAAATGGCTACAGATATAATCTTTCATAAATTTATGAACCTACAGTTCATGATTTTATTACTGACCTACATCTCTTCAAATTTAATCAAGCATTTTAAGATGTGGATCTACATCTTAGCAATTGCTTTTATTTAGTGAATATTCACATCACAGAGATATTCTTTGGTTTCTGTGAACGTTCCTTTAAGCTTGGTACTTTGTCTCATATATATATATATATATATATATATATATATTGTTTTGTTTTAAGACAGGGTCTCACTCTATTGCCTAGGCTAGAGTACAGTGGCCTCATTACAGCTCACTGCAACCTCAAACTCCTGGGCTCAAGTGATCCTCCTGTCTCAGCTTCCTGAGTAGCTGGAACTACAGACTTGAGCCACCATGCCCGGCTAATTTTTTCTGTTTTTTTTTTTTTTGTAGAGACCAGGTCTCCCTCTTGCTTAGGCTGGTCTTGAACTCCTGGCCTCAAGTGATCCTCCTGCCTTGGCCTCCCCATGTGCTAGGAATACAGGCATGAGCCACTGTGCCTGGCCTTATTTTCATATATTTAAGTTAATAAAAAGTATGCACTGAAGTGTTGGGTTTTCCCTAGTAGTTTATCATAAATGCTCAAACAGTATCAGTTTACTTTTTTGACAAATAAGTATTAATATTTTATCAGAGCACAGGTATATTTTGTGGATCCTTTGTAAACTTCAAATACAGCCTGACCTCAAGAGTGTGCCCCCAGAAATGGTGGTAAATGTGTAAACGGGTGGCTGCCGATGACATCTGTGCCCTTTGGATGCTTGACATGGCTGCGAAAGGAACTGATCCCCACAACCAGCCGATCGCTCTCCAGCCAGCCCCGCGACCTGGACTTTCTACTTGAATCTTTATGATCTCCTCTGGGATGTTGTTACTGTGACGATGTCCTCACTCTTTGTCACATTCATTTTTTTCCTTTGCACTAGCAGCTCTCTTGCTGCTAACTTTTATAGCCACTCGGTAAGTGGACAATAATTTTGAAGTCTGATCTCTTGATGTTTAGTTTACTTACTTATTTTAGTCCTATTCATTCCCTCTTTTAACCCCTTGCTGCCTTCTACACACCTAGCTAGTAAAATTCTAACACATCTCCTTGACAAATAAAAGGCATTTTTTAAAGCCCTCCATGGCGTCTATGGTATCAGCCCCACTGCCTGGTTTTTCTCACCCAGACCCTGCTTGCTCAGTCAGCTTCCTGTCTATTTCTACAACTCCATTCTTCTCCAGCTCTTCCTGGTTTCCTGTCCTTGACCAGACAGTCCTGGTAGTGTTTCCAGTTCCTCTGATTTTTTTTTTTTTTAATTTACAATTTTATCTGAAATTTGTATTTTTTTATGTGAAAATACTCAATTATTACATATTGGTCCAACAACACCTATGGATCAAAGATACTAAATTGCTTCTCTGAGCCATTTCTATCTTGCCAGCTGCCGGTTCATGTTTTTTGGCCTTGGAAAAAGGCAGGAAAGGACCAGTCCAAGGTACTCCTTCCAAGAGCCAGAAGGCAATCCACAGGAGGGGAAGGTTACCTTTGGTCATCTGACCTAGGAAGGAATGGAGGGTTGAGGCAAATCTTTGATGAGGACACTGGTGATGTTTAATCCCAGTCAGTGGGCATCGAAGTCAACCTTTGATGTCTGACTCGCTGCTTTGTCCATGTCAAAGAAAGGACATGTGGAAACAAGCTAGTGTTGGCCGCTGGCAGTGGGCTTGGTACGAGCGTAAAAGCTACCTGTTATCATGGCATGAAGTGATTAGAATAAGCGAGTGAACAAGCTCAACTTCAGCCTTCTAGGAAAACATCTTGCCACCTTCATCTTGCAGGTTGGTTAAAGATTAGAAGGGAAAGAAAATATAGATGTACCTCAAATACCTGTTGAAGTTCCCAACTTACATAGCCAAGATACAGGACTTACTAGAAGTGAGGTGGCTACCCAAGGCGAGGGCAGTGTGGCACACCAGGGTGTCCCCTTGCTCCTTGGTTCCTATTGGCCGATTCTATACCTATACCCTTTGCCGGCAGCAGCCCTTTGTAATTACTAATAATGCCCCTTGGAAGAGTCTAGTGTGCCTAGCAGGTTATGTGGCTGCTGTACCCATTGGACATGGAGCTGCCAGTGACAGGGGATCCGCCTGGAATTGAGAAAGCTAGTTTAAAAAAATGTACTGAAACTTTTATCACCTGGGAATTTTAGCAATCATTAAGTTTACTCGTAAGGAATGTTGATAAACCATAAACATCTAACTGCTGCTTCTTTCCAAAGTGGCTTCCCCTCTAGGAAGTATCAGTGCCACCAAGAAACTTGGCAGAACTGGGCTTTCAGGGACCTGCTTGGACCCTCTGTTCCCATCTAGATGTTTCTATAATGGGCAGTGGTGGCCGTGAGCCTCGTCATTGCTTAGACATCTCTGTAGGTGACAGCAAAGCTCCTGTATTTTGGGGCAACTTACACCACAAAGCTTGTCATCTGGGTACTTCTCAGCCCTCAATCTATGCAAAGGAAGGCTTAGATTGCCCAACTTTAGTTCTGTGTGTGAGTTTACATAGCGCTTCAAATCAGTTTTTATTTCTAATAAAAGGAAGACAGCAGAAAGAACCTTTACTGATTTCTTTGGGGGCCAGTACTCCCTGGATTGAGTCTGGCTTTGTTGGGCACACGCAGAGGAGTTTGACCTGTCATGACTTCAGTGAACGTGATTGTTCTCTATATCACATAGGAAAAACCTCACAATGGGGTTTTGAAGATGGAATTAAGGGTAACGAGTGTGGAAGTGTTCTGTAGGTTTGAAAGTGTTACACAATAGGTGCTTGCTTTGTATCCTTTTATGTGGTGGTCAGTCAGGTGTGGCCACAGAAGAGACAAAGGTGTTTATACTCAGAGATCCTAGAGACAGGAGGCATGGGCACACCGCACAGGCCACGTGGGAAAGACATCCTTCTGGCTGGGAGGCAGAAGACAGGAGCGAGGGGGAGGTTTAGGTCAGAGCCCTCACGAGGGCTTCCATGGGAAGAGAAGGCAGGGCAGGGTGAACTGTCCAGGACCTCCGCGTCTGAGTAACTTCGCTGGGCTCTAGCTATAGGGAAAGTCCCAAGTTGTCTGGTACAGGTCCCTGGGGTGATTATGGCAGAGAAATATTGCCTCCCGGGGTGCGTGGGCCACATGGAGGAGGTGGCTGTGGACCGGCTGGTGTGTGTGTCAAAGGCACACGCCAGGCTGAGCCCGTGGCTGTCTCTAAGAGTTGGCTATGGCCGAGAAGGGGAGTCCCTCCCCAGCCAGAAAGCCTTTTTAAGATGCCAAAGAATCATGGGACAGAAAAATTCAGCTTGGAAAGGGAAATTAGGGGTCACCTAGTTTTCAGCCCCCAAGTTTTACAGAAGAGAAAATTGTCCATGGTCACACAGTACGTTAACAGAATCTAGGCCAGAAGCAGTATTGTTTGACCCAGTTTAGTGAACGCCAGCCAAACAGAACGTGAGCAAGGAAGCAAAGCGATCAAGGTCTTATGCAGCGAAGGCAAGATGGCTCCCGAGTTCGATGTGGAGCTCGGCAAGTTACATAATGACGCGGAACGGGAAGGAAGTCAAATGGCTCCAGCAAAACAATGTGTCAGACATACTCCTATCCAGGACTTACTTACTGTGCTTCTGTAGCTACTAGCACTGTGCTAAGCACTCCCTAAATTTTGCCTCAAGTCCCTGGGGCGAGGACTGTTAGCCCCATTTAAAGTGATGCAACTGCGGCCCAGGGGTGGAGTAGTTTGCTGAAGGCAGGTAAGGCAGAGTTCAGATTTGCTCTCTGTCACCTTGACGTGCTGCTTCCCGGGTTTGCAAACTCTGCCTTCATCTTGGAGCGATTGCCCGAAGCACAGTGAGCACTAGGGCAGAGAGAAGCATGTCCCAGGGCAGGGGGAAAGCAGAGACTCTCTTGGACTGTGCTCCTTGCAGAGTTGAGCAGGAGGAGAGTCTGAGGTTGAAAGGGCTAGAACATGCTACCATTTATTGCCTGTTTGTGATGGCACAGAGCCAAACTCAACAACGATTAGCACGGGATCATATTTTTATTATCCTAGGTGCCAGGCGCCATGCTGGCGACTTGCTGATGGTGCTACACAACCCTGGGAGGAAACGGAATGTGAACAATCACTCAAGGTCATGCTGCTGGCAAGCAGTGTGGCTGGTTTTCAAGCCTGATCCTCAACACTGTGTTTAGCAAAGGCTCAGTGGAGTCGCCCCTCATCCCTGGTGGGTCCGTGTCTGGAAGGGAGAACATCAACACGGGAACAGAATCTGGAGATGGCATTCCTTTGGGAGGTGTTCTGAGCACAGAGCAGGCATTAGCGGGGCTCGCTTTGACGTCTCCCACTGTGTTCACTGGGCTGGAAAATCCACTTGTCTCTTGTGGCTAAGGGAAGAGGCGCCAGTTCCACCTCATTCTCCCACACCATGCAGGCTGCGGGCCTGGCCCTTCCGCCTGCAGTCAGGAGAGTTCTCTTCCCTCCAAGGCACTGAATGAATCACCTCCAAGCCTGTAATCCTGCGACAGTAATGGTGAAACCGCCCTTTACGAAATTAATAAAGGACCACAGGGTGGGGACGGTGGTAGGGGCATTGTATACATTAACATAACCAGCCCTTGCTCCCTTGCTTTCCTATAAATGCTTACTACTCAGGAGTCATGTAGCCTCCAGTTCAGGAATTTTTACAGAAATTGTTTTGTAGGAGCTGTCCAGCCTCCCTAACTTTCCCAGGTAGACATTCCCTCTCACTGCAGGCAAGAAGCAGGAGAATTAATTTGGAAAGTGTATCTAAAATGGGCAATGGAACACAATCTTTCTTTTTGGTCAGTACGAAACTTAATTTTTATTGGCAACAACTTTGC